ATCGTACAGGGGACATGAAGAAGACGGAGATGTTCTGCAGGATGGTGGATTGTGTACGAAGAAGGGGCTGGAGTCAGGCAATATTTATCCACCTCTTTGTTTTAACTTCTAATTCTCTGCAGTCTTTCCCTTCTTTCATTTGCTTGTTTTTGTTTTTTTTTGTTTTGTTTTTGTTGTTGTTGTTTGTTTTTGTTTTTGTTTTTGTGGTGCCAGAGATTGAACCAGGACTTCATGCAAATGCCAGGCAAGCACCTGAGCTATTTTCCTCATCCTGTTTTGCATCTGTTATTTCGAGGTAGGTTCTTTACTAATTTACCCAGGTCAACCTTTAACTCATTTTAAACCTGAGGTTGGACTTGAACTTGTGACTCTCCTGCCCATGCAGCCTAGATTTAAATGCCTGGGCTCAGAGCCCAAGACTACCTCCTTTCCTTGTTTCTTTAGGCCATGGAGCAAACCCACATCTCTTTTATTTAACCAACTTGTTTCCAACAGACAGGTCCATCTCTCTCAGCCATCTCTCCACTTGTCAAAAGATAATTGTAACTTGAAAACTATAGCAATACACGGAGTAAAAGGGGGAAAGGCCAGTATATAGCACTGTTTCCCTTCTCTCTGCTCAGTAGAGCAATCCTCTAGAATTAAATTATAATTTGGCACATAGTCAAACAAACAAAGGTACACTGAAGTGGATCTCACTATGTGACCCTGGATGGCCTAGAGCTGGCTGTGTAGACAAGGCCAATTTAACTCCTCCGTGTTAGGAGTATAGGGTATGCTACCACATAGCTGCTTTAAGAAGGAGGAAAAAAAACTAATGCCAGAGAGATAGGAAGACAGACAAGAAGGCAGGCAGGCAGACAGACAGACAAAAAGACAAAACAAAAACAAGAAATCAAAAAACAGATAGGTTAATTTTTAAGTAATACACTCATTAATAGATTAAAATGGAACAATGTACCTTACTGTGTAACTTATTACTTTAATAAAGGATGTCTGTTTAGGTTGATATCAGATGAAGAACGGCACTGGATGTTCTCATAGCCCCTCTAAATTCATCAGTGAGAAGATAGCAATGAAAATATTTATGGAAGACCACTTAGAAGAGAGCATCTTGTCTAATTAGACATACCCTGTCAAACGCAGAAGCCAATAGCTATGACTGTCCTCTCACTCTAGATGAAGTGAAATTAAGTTAGGAAGTCAATGTGTATGGTCACAGTAGTTCAAGCATTCAAGAGCTTCATGGGACTAGTGAGTGACACTGGACATCACAGACACAGACCCTTCCCCCACTTGCAGAAAGTTCTGGGGGGTGGGGGTTGGTGCAAGCTCTCAAAACACAGCCTGGGATGTTTATCTTGCTTGGCTATTGATATTGGAGCTCACCATCCAGACCGCATGGGTGAAACTAAGACAGGAAAAGATGGCCACCCAGACCCAAAGGACTCCCTTGGTTCTGACAGGCATGCTCCACTGGCTGCACTGAGCCCAGAATGTCTCCAGGTAATTTTTTAAAAAGGACCAGGGAGCAGAGGGCACCTGCATTGAGTCTGCATTGAGTCTTGTTTTCTTGCTGTGTTCTTTACCCAGGAAAAGGAATGTTTGTGTTATTTTACTGCCATGTTTGTTTCACAGGTCTTAAGTCACAGGCTTGAATTCTATTTCTACTCAGATAAGATTCTAGAATAGTCCTCAATCAGTGCTCTGTTACTTTTCACATCATGGGCACTAAATATCAGTCTTCCCCAACACACCCCCACGTGCTCAACACCCCCCTTGCCTGCTCAAAAGCCCAACGACTCGAACCCCCACCCCTGTCTTCTCAATTCTTTACCTCCTCAACACCCCTACCATTCTGCCTTTAACTTGCTTTAAGGTGTCTTTTGCCACTCCTAAGTTTTTCTTTAGATTTGTTTGGGTTTGAGGTTTTTGTTTGTTTGTTTGTTTGTTTGGATGTGATTTCATAGTGTAGCCTACGCTAAGCTGGAACTCCCAGTCTTCCTGCCTCAGCTTCTTGCATGCCAGGATACCGGGAAGAACCACCACCCACACCTGGCTTTGAGCTTTCATGTAGCAGTCTTTGAAGCTTTCCCTTTAAGCTCTCTTGGTCTTTTTTAAGACGGTGTTTTCCCAATCTACCATTGCAATCATCTTTCTTTCTGCATTTCCTTTGCCTTAATATTTACCTATGTTATATACCACACTGTAACCTATGTAGAATTTATTTTGTGTCTGAGAAGAGATAAGCTCTCTTTATTTTCTTCTAAAATAACCAATTCTTTGAACATCACTGCATTAGTTGTTTTTTGTTGCTGTGATAAAATACTATGACCTAAAGGCACTCATAGAAGGAGGTTTATCACTTATGGTCTACAATGGCGGAGAAGGCCAGACTCAGTGACTGAGCAACTACGCACCCTTGGCTCAGAACATGGTTAATGTCTACCTCTGTTGCCACCTCTGACGTATACTCCTCAATGGAGACGCTGCCTCTGTCCATGGCAGGACAGCGCACGAGCTGATGGACAACCCATTCAGATCAGTTTACTCGGATAATGGTCATAACTTGGCCGGGCAGTGGTGGCGCACGCCTTTAATCCCAGAAGTTGGGAGGCAGAGACAGGCGGATTTCTGAGTTCGAGGCCAGCCTGGTCTACAGAGTGATTTCCAGGACAGCCAGAGCTATACAGAGGAACCCTGTCTCAAAAAACCAAAAAAAAAATAAAATAAAAAAGTGATAAGGTCATAACTTCATCGAAGTCAAATTTCATCTGATCTATCAACAAGTCATAGAATAGCCAAATGTTAATTCATGTTAACTTTCCTAGATCTACTGAAATAGTACTAGCTCCTGAAAAGCAGCCCAGCATAGGAGACAAGCCACCTGAGGGGACACAGTCCCTGCCTCCCACGCTCCTTAGCCTCTGTTATGTGCCCTCTACTCTTTCTTCAGATCTCAGTTCTTCTGTCACGCTCTGGGTCCCTTCCTCTCCCCTCTGGTTATAATAACTGCTCTTGGATGGACCAGACCTCCATTTCCTGAAGACCTTAGTTCTGCCCCTCCTCACCGGTCCTTGTTCCAGACTATTGTCATCCACGCACAAATGAAAAGAGTCTTCATCGTTAAGGCAGAAAGGGAGGAAAAGACCCTTACTAGCCCACAGCTCTCTCCTCGCTACCACTGTTTCCTTTAGGCTCTTCCCCCAGCTCTCTGAAAAGTGTCTGCACCAGCTACAGCGTTTTCCTCCTTGAGACTCGCTAATTGAATTCCCTCCAGTTACATTTTGTTCCCTCTGACTCCTCAGAATTTGACTGTGGTTACCACTAACCTCCATGTTTGCCCAAAACAACAGACAGGCTGATTGATGCTCAACCCCCAGCAGCAACGTCCAGCACAGTACATCAGTCTGTTGCTGAGATAACCTCATGTGGCTTCAGGGACACCCAACCCCTGCTGTTGCCACTGGGCACCACCTGTCTCTTCTCAGTCCTCTTCAGAGAATCCTCCCACCTTCCCATTCCTACCTGCAGGATAGGCCCTGGGCTCACAGGGTCCCAGAAACTCCAGTGTGCTCTTACAAACTTTCTACATAGTCCTGTCCAGCCCTATTCCTTGAAATACCTTACAGACTACACACCCAACCTCAGCTCTGCTCTCAAACCCCTATGTACATCAAAAAACACTATCATCACTTGGGTAGTTAATCAGTACATCAACATAGCTTATGCAACATCAAAGCACAACAAAACAGGAGGCTGCAGAGATGGCTCAGTGGTTCAGAGCACTTGGCCTTGCAGAGGACCCACACGGAGGTTCATATGTGTCTGTAACTTCAATTTCAGGAGATAAGACACTTCTTCTGACCTCTCTGGGGTCCTAAACGCACAGGTATACAAATATACATGCAGATATATACATATATGCACGTAAAGAAAAAGAAGCATTTTTTTATGTGTATGAGTGTTTTACTTGTATGTATGTTTGTACACTGTGCGCATGCAGTGCCCTTGGAGGCCATAAGAGAGGGTGTATCTCCTGGAACTGGAGGTTAGGAACCTCCATGTGGGTGCTTGGAATAGAACTTGGGACGTGTGGAAGAGCAACCAATGCTGTTAACTGTTGAGCCATCTCTCCAGCCCCGAAAATAATTTTTTTAAACCCACACAACAAACCTGCAGAATCTAAGCATTCCTCCGCACGCTGGCTGACCACTCCCTGCTTCTTGCCTCGGTTACCCTAGAAACCATCTCACCGCTTTCTACTCTATGCCACATTCTCTCTCCTCAATTCTAGTCCCCTCCAGTAGTTGTCAGTCCTTTAACGTTACTAGTCAGACTATGAAAGTCTTTCCCAGTGGCATCTCATCCACTAAAGTAAAACACTTGCTTCTCATACCCCATAAAGTCACCATCTGAGCCCTGACCCACCATGCCAATTTATCTCTTATAACTATTCTATCACTTACTTTTCCAACAAAAATTGTCATGTAAATAGATTAATAAGTAAAACTGTGATCTATCGTCCATATGCACATCAAACTAATTTTCACTTCATGACCTTTGTCTCTACTCCCCGCTCTTCTGACACAGTGATTCACAGATGCCTGCTGACACACTCACTCACAGGTATCTATTTGCTGACACACTACTCCAAGATATCTGCTGACACACTGATTCACAGATATCTGCTGACACACTGATTCACAGATATCTGCTGACACATTAATTCACAGATATCTGCTGACACTCTACTCACAGATATCTGCTGACACACTACTCACAAATATCTGCTGACACACCAATTCTGCAGAGCTAAACTACTTTGTCTTCAATCCACTTTTTATCTCATGATCTTAAACCTTGTCTAACACATAATAGGTATACAGTATTTGTTGAAGACACAGGCAAACAAATGTTCACATATAAACTTGTTGTGAACTTGAATCAACATTTTAGCTTAATAAATACATAAAAAGTTATTTTCCAGTGATACTCACTTTCCGTTGTTTTACAGAGTCCAGTTTTATGAGCCAATATGAAGCCACTTTTGTTTTATAATGCTTCCAGTTATCCATGATCTGTTGAGGGAGAGAAGTTAATAAATTTAATCTAGAATGCTCACCGAAAGTAGTAAATGAACATGTTAGCCCTGACTATATCCTTTTGTGCAGCGAAGACACTCTGAGATTACTTAAAATAAAAACTCTACCATTCATAAAAAGATACCTTCAAAGATTTAGACAAGCCAGGTGTTCTAAATCTGAGCCCCTTTCTTTCTCTTAAGCTAGAGTAATATCACTCAGTGAATACAAGTTAGAAATCCTTAGATACACACATTTTCAGGTAGGACTCCAACGCATAGGTTTTCTATCTTTATTCACAGGGCTGTGTTACTCACATAGTAATAGAATATTGAACAATATATTAAAAGTCAGCCTATACTCAACTGGAGTTCTACTAGCCCTTTATTACCTGTATATCTACAGAGTTCCTCAATATATACCCTAGTAATGTATACTGTAGCAAACATTCAAGTCTGAAACACAGCAGACATACAGCAAAGAATCTGATGCCTGCCATTAATAATTAATTATATTTCGTTAATTGTTTAAGCCTAACAATCTTCTTTACAGAAGAATCACATTAGCCACATATATTAGTTCCACTCTCTCACTTTCTAATTAAAAATAGCAGACCTTAATGGGACAGCAGTGATAGCTCGGTGGTTAAGAGCACTCATTCCTCTTGTAGGGGACCCGGGTTCAATTCCAAGCACCCACTTGGCCACACATAACTGTCTGTGACTCCTGTTCTAGCGAGTGTGAAGCCTTCCTTGACCTCTGAACAGTGGGGCACATATGTGATGCACTTACATACGTGGAGGCAAAATAATCATACAAGTAAAACAAATTCAAAGTGAAAATATCAGATCATAAAAGACAGACAAAAATGATGCATCTACTGCAAAGTTACTGGCTTTTCTTAGAAATAAATGTTATCAAAATAAGTAAAGAACTTCCAGGCTGGAGATAAATCTCACCGGGCAAAGTGTTTGCTGCCAAGTGCAACCTTCGTTCAATCCCTGGGACCCACACACACAAACATACTAAATAAAAAATGTAACTTAAACTTTTAAAACACATCTATCACAATGCCTTATACTCGATCTAAATTTCTTTTGCTGTAGCAAGCCCCCCCACACAACATGACTTTCACTTTTGAAAAAAAAAATTATCAGCACAAAATTTAAAAAGACTTGTTTCCTTAACGATAATTCTCTAATGACAAAAATAGGGTGCCGTTATGGATTTTTGCAGCAAGAAATCTTTTTCTTGTTTTGTTATTTCCACGCACTTGCTTTATAAAGCTAGGTGAACAGTAAACGGACCCGTGCAAGCTTTGGTTCTTATTCTACATATGACCACTAGATGGTGCCTTGTCTTCTGGAGGAAAAAAAAAATCACAACCCACCTATCCCACCCCAAACTGTTCTGTGGCCAATGAATGATCTAAGTATGGGCACTTAGAAAGCATGTTGGATGGAGAAGAGAAACCTTGAGTGAAGAAATGTTCTTCTATCAAACAATTTTAGTGACCTTGGATTTCTTTCTAAGCTAAGAGCGAGTCCGGACTGTAGCGTCTGAACTTCTGCCATTTCCAAATGCTCCACTAGGTGGCAGACGTGAAAATAATTCATCCAGGCTGCTTCAAGGCTTTCCAGGCATCACCTGTAACTCTTCTTGACATTTTCTACCAGGGCGCTATTTTCATCCTGTCTCTTTTCATCTTAAGCTCTTCGACTTAGTCAATTTTTAAATAGAAGAGTTTATCCTGATATTTCTTTGATCATGAAGAGCAGTTATTATTTGATGCTAATTATTCTCACTTGAAAGCCTTATTATATGACAAAGTGTTCCTAATAACTAAAACGAGTTCTTCTACTTTATAAAGTTTCTGGGGGCTAAAAGTAACATCAGTTACACTTCCTATTCAATTAACTACAATCCAACCAGAAAATACACTTTTGTGTGTAGAGGTATAGGAGTCATGTGTGCATGTACATATGTGTACAATGCACATGTATGCTGGTGTTTATGTGTGTGCACATGCATCTGCATGCATGATTGTGGAGGTCAGAGGTCAGGCTTGGATGTCTTTTCACTGGGACCTTCGGCTCACCAGGTACCCTGGGGTAGCTGCTATGAAACCCCAGGAGTCTTCCTTTCCCTGCCTTTCCAGTGCTAAGGTTACAGCTGCGGGCCACCATGCCAGATCTTTATGTAAGTTCTAAGGATTTGACCCAAGACCTCATGCTAGCCCAGCAAGTGCTTTACCAACAGGTCCATCTCCCCAGTCCCAGGCAGTACATTTTAATGCTCTCAGAAGAGTAGACAGATATTCTTGGATATTACACGGATACTCACATCTTCTATCAGGAGCTCCGACTCTGCATCCGACTTCCCCGGAAAGCGGATCCTCATGTCCTTGAGGACAAACAAGGTCTGACTGGTGAGGTCGTCTTCCTGCTCTTTTGTTTTCAGTTGCCGCAAAGACTCATTCTTAAATTTGAAAGAATACAGACACATGGAGGGGATTTTATTCCACTGTGCCAGAATAATGCGAAAGATACCTCTAGGTAAAGGGGATGATGCACTGTCAATTTTTAAAGTGGATATTTATGAATTTTTAGCATTAAAATGGTTATTATTTGTAAGAATGTCTTTTTATATTTTCTCCCGGTTGTATTTTATGTTGCTCAAGATATAAGCATCGCATATGAGTAATTTAAAAGGATTTCCTCATCTGTTTCATTTGCCACCAATTCTTGGACTGGATAATAAAATCAGTCATCGTTATGAAGGGAATGAATTCACTTATATTTCCTGAGTTCTTCCACTGGAGAGACTCATTCTTAAAATTTGTTAATGTTGATCAAACAGAGACTTTATATAAATCTCTGGTCTAGCTCCAGCAAACTACAGTAAGACCACTGACTTTCTCAGTTGTAAATCTCTCTAGTTTATGCTGAAAAGGGGATACGCCACGTTAACTTAATATGCAGAAGGCATTCCAAACTGCATCATACCTAGGCTCGAAAAGTAGAATAGTTTTTAAACTATTAATCTAGAGTCTTAAGAGGTATTTTCCATACACTAAATGTGCTTGTTTCTATAGAAGATTAAGATATTGCAAGAAAAAGAAATGCGTTTACAAAAATGCTTATAAACAATGTCACCCTCCTGCGGCAGGAAATGATTACCAACAACGTCATCCTCCTGCATCAGGAGATAGAAAAGAAACCCATGCTTCTCTCTCTCCAACCTTGAGCTCTGTGATATGGTGGAGCTTGCCTCTCAGGATACATGAACAAAGCAGTTTCCCAAGGTCATGACTGAATTACGGAAGGGATGGGGGGCCCTCTCCTCATCCTCTTGGCTGGTCCCCTCTCCACCTGCGTTTTGAGTACAGTGTTCTGAAACCTCGGAAGGGCACAACCAATCGAGAGCTTACCACCAGAGTGTTGGCAGAGCTGGCGTCGTTACTGTGAGGCAGGTGTCTCACGTAGGAGGAAGCACGGTTTAAGGAATGTGACCGAGACGCTGACGTTGGTCGTGCTAATGGTATCACTTGTTGAGAAGAAAAGGGGCGCACATCCCCTCTGGAAGGTAAGTGAGCAGAGATGGACCGAGGGCAGCTGACCGAACGCCTCATGGAATCTATCGATGATGGAGAAGTGGCGCTGTTAGTACACTTTTCTCCCTAGTAGGTCTCCGAAGACTAACGATTAGACCGGGTGGTGTCTGGGTGACAAAGGTCAGGCCTAGACACCATCGCAAGAAGAGAAGTTCTGGTGTGTGAAGAACCATTTTTCTGGGGAAAACACTGTAAACAAGACTTCAGTGCTAAGTTCTCCAAGTGTGATGTTAGAGAATCAGAAAGAAAGAGGCCAACACCCATGCACACATAGGTCCTACTCCTTAATGTCGCTCTTATAGAAACCTGGCAGACAGAGTGTGTGCCTGTCTGTCTCTCTGTCTGTGTCTCTGTCTGTCTGTGTGTATGTTCATGTGTGTAAATGCAGGAACACACATGGCAAGGCACACGTGTGGAGTTCAGAGGACAACTTCAGTTTCCAGTCCTCATCTTCAGCCTTCTCATCAGTCATCATTTACTGCTATAGATGCAAGACTAGTTGCCCCTCCCCAGAGTACAGGGACACCCCGTCTTCATCTCCAGTCTTGCCATAGGAACACAGAAATTACAAACATGCATCTGCAGCCAGCATCATCTAAGTTCTAGGAATTTGAACCTAGGCCCTCACACTTGTACAGCAAGCATTTCGCCCACTGAGCCGTCTCCCTAGACAGGAAAAGGGATTTCTATTGTCTAGAATATCAGAGGACCTTCCCAGAGTCACACAACAAGATGGTGGCCAAGGTCAGCCAACACCTCAAGTCCTCACCATTTGAATGCTAAAAGTCTCCACTTGTCTATACGTCCACAGTGCTATCTACTAACCTTGGGTTAAAACCGGCTATTCCAGTCTCTGTGTCAGTCAGAAATTTATCATTTCACAGTAAGTATCACAGGAGAGAGGAAAGAACAGACAGTGGCCAGGTAAACAGACAAATTCAGGGCTTCCGGTGGGAGTCACAAAACAGAACAGTATGAAGGTTACTCTAAGTAAATATAACAGACTAGTAAAAGAGATGCAGCAAAACTGATAGTCTTACACACACAGAGAGAGACACACACAGAAGAGACACACACAGAAGAGACACACACAGAGAGACACACACACAGAGACACACACACAGAGACACACACACAGAGACACACACACAGAGACACACACACAGAGACACACACAAACCAATTTCAATAGCAGACGATTTAAGTGAAAAAAAATGAAGTCAAGGAACAGAACTGTTATCAAAATAAATATCTAAGGAATCCATCATGTATTTGCCCTTGTGCATTCTGGGAACACTAATGAAAGAGAAGCAGCATCCCTGGTAAGCTGTGGCTCCAGACCTGGAAAAAAAGAGAAATGCTCAACATCGCCAGTGTTGTAATCTTTTCTTCGGCTCCTGTTTCCGGTAGATCCTCTATCCTGGGCTTGCTCTCTGCTCGGAGAATATATCAATCTTCGTTAGTTAAATAAATTAATGAAACTCACATGAAGCTGGGTTGCATACCCAAGGGCCTCTCTTCATCAGCTGTTGGAAAGAACTCAAAACTTCATAAAGGAAGTTTGACGGAAATAAATGGTAGATTTAGAGGCATGCTAAAAGACGCTATGAGAATGTGACAAATGTAACATTGTTTCTTTATGTTCTGGGGAGCATAAAGATATACACTCATCCAAGTTTTAGAAGATGCTGTTCAAAAACAAAAACAAAGCAAAAAAAAGATTTCTGTTGCAAGTCTTAGCTTCCTTCCATTCCTGTGACGCACAGCACTTTTTTAGCAGCACACTATATAGGAACATGTCACTGGTCAGTCTACCTTTAAAAGATATTAGTTATGAAAGTCACGTATTTAACATACAACAATAATACAAAAGTCATGTTCAGAAGAAGAGGAGGAGAAGAGGAAGAAGAAGAGGAGGAAGAGGAGGAAGAGGAGGAACAGGAGGAAGAGGAGGAAGAGGAGGAGGAGGAGGAAGAGGAGGAAGAAGAAGGAGGAGGAGGA